AGCAAAGTAGACTAAGAAGGTCTCATCACATGTATAAACGATCACATTGCCCATTCATAAAAACTGATCTCTTACAAATTGAAAGGTCTAAAAAAGCCAGGAGCAGAACAAAAAGGACATGGAGTGGCAAGAAATGATTTAATGGATCATGACTTCACAATGAATTTGGCATTGAGCAGAGAATAATGTGAAACAGGATTAAGATAGTCTCCATATATTATTGGGCCAAGCCTTGATTGAGTTGAGAATTTTTCCAACACAATCACCAAAAGTATACCATCCACTTAGATATGATTTTTCAAAACCACTCTAATAATTGCATAACAATGATTTTAGAAACTGGACATGGTTGACATGGATTTAACAAACCATTAACTGGCAAGCACAATTGTGATCCTTAAAATTCTCTCCAGCACAAAACTAGATTGTATTCTAGATCAAACAAACGGCATTGTTGCAAATGGGGATGGTTCTCTTGTTATAAAAGCTACCATGACCAACTTGATCTCTCCACACTAATCAAGTCGATGAAAGCTTAGCATGGTATCCATTCTTACAGCAAGGTTGATGGTAACAAGAATTCCAATTATCGAAAATTAAAGAGAAGAAAGATAAAGATGAAAAAGGTAGTACACATCCAAGTTTTCTGTCACTGTCAAAGATATTAGTTATTCTTCTTGCCCACCAAAGCTGAGAATGTTTGTTCTGTCGCCAGCACCACTGCTTCGTCCAGAAATGCAGAGTTGCTACTATCCATCACAATTGAAGACTTCAAAGTTATTAGATTTTGCTTCTTTTACATGAGTTTTGTTTTCAGGTTACTGATGTTGGATGCGTTTCTTTCAACTTCCAACAGACGAAATATCTGGGAACCCTATGGCAAAGAGATGGATCTTGTCCTCTTTTCGTTTTTTTTTTTTTTCACTTTTTTGGTGGGGGTCAATGTGGGAAAAAATTAACCAGATAAAAATAAGTATTCATTATTAGTGTAAAAAGGAATTATTCACTAGCATTTAAACTAAAGACTAGAGAAGAAACAGAAGTGGATCTAGTGGCAAACAATAAAGAAGAGCAGGGATTACTGAGGGCGGTAGGGCTGCAGCCATGGAAGATTGTTCCTTTACAATCACATATCAATTGTATACTTTTGATTTAAGTTTTCAAATATGAGTTTCAAAGACTTGCATAATTTCAGCAAGGCTAATGCAACTTTAACCTTTAAATCCTTCATCATATGAGAACGTTAAGAAATGCTATGCATTGTAACAAAATGAGTGAGATGCTTAATTTCACTGTCCACGCAAGTCACCATATATCATGGGTTAAGCTCATACGTTGGGATTAGATTTATCAAGAATTGATTTGAATTGAATTAGCTATCCCAAAATAAATAAAAAGATTGGAATTGGTGTTGCGATAGCATAAATCTTTCCTTCTTTATAGGCATTTGAGATCAAGTTTTAGATTAGTCTTATTGATGCATTGTGAGATTTATTTCACTTTCCCTAGTATATCCGATTTGTATTGTAATAATATAAACTCATGCATTTCCTGACCATATCCTGATATGTATGTAACCTAAAGTTGCCTTTCCAACATTCTTTGACAATTATTGGGGAAGGAAGAGCTCAGCCAGGAACCCTTCTTTTTATTTTTTATTTTTTTCCTTTGATAAAAGAAAACTAAGGTAGAGAGGGCACATTAGTACTTTGTTGTTATGCTCATTAGTACTGGTTATTGAACATAATGTAGACATTAATCTTTTTGTTTTTCATATCCATTTTATGTTTTAGACAATTTAATGGAACATGTAGTCATGCACATGAAAGTATTCATTGAGCAATTCCAGTGCAACCATTGACATACTAAACAATCCACTTAAAATGTGAGCTGTTAAAGGTACAACAGGTTTGAATTGAGCATGGAGAGGTCAGGAAGCAACCACTTTTTGTGTTCAAGAGGTTAGGTTTGTGTCCAGTTTACCCCTCCGAAGACCATGATAGGATTAGCAGCATATGTAATGTCCCCTTTTCATAGATTAAATGGAATATATGTGACTAATGCCTTGTCCCAAAAATGGAGTCCATGTATTAAGTTAGCTAAATTAAATAATCCAGAAAACTTATTGGGGGACCATGAGAAAGGGCACCTGTTTTGCAAATAGAACACCACAATAGGATTAAGGCAAGGATGTCCCCTCTCCCCCTTACTCTTCACTCTCATAATGGAAATTTTTAGCCAATTGGCGAAAAGGCAAATCTGTTAGGGTTGGTGAGGGGTTTCAAAGTTGGAAGAGATTCAATTCAGATGACACACCTTCAATTTGCAGGTGACATTATGATGTTTTTAGAGGCTGAAGAAGACAATGTTGTCAACTTGAAAATGATCACAATCTGCTTTGAACGGATTTTGGGGCTCTGTGTTAACTTCTCTAAGAGCAGTATTGCAGGGCTGTATGTAGCAAATGTTCAGTCCCTAAACAATTTTAAGGAAATTCTTGGCTGCAAAGTTGAAAGCCTTCCCTTCTCCTATCTTGGAATGCCCCTTGGAGGAAACCCGAAGACTCAAAGTTTTTGGGACCCAGTAGTAGAGAAATGTGAAAAAAACTGGCCATGTGGAAAAGAGACTACTTGTCCAAAGGCGGGAGACTCACCCTAATCAAAGCTTCTTTGGCAAACTTGCCCACATACTATCTCTCGTCCTTTCGAATGCCAACCAAAATTGTCAATCAGCTGGAAAGACTTCAAAGAAACTTTCTGTGGGAGGGAAATGGGGATAAGGGATCTCATCTCGTGAATTGGTCCCAAGTGTGCAATTCTAGGGAGGAAGGTGGTTTGGGAATATGTCATTTGAGAGAAAAAAACACAGTTCTTCTGAGTAAATGGCTGTGGAGATTTCCTCAAGAACCGAATGCCCTTTGGACTGAGATCATCAGCAACAAGTACGGGAAACCTGCAAACGGTTGGAATTGTAGGTTGCACTTGAACCAGATCAAGGTTATAAACCCTTGGAACTCTCAACCTACCAAAATTTCATCTCCTTTATCAGGTACAAAGTGGGAAATGGGGATAAAATAAAATTCTAAACTAATGTTTGGTGGGGTGACTCTACCTTGGTTGAATCCTTTCCTCGCCTCTATAGCCTTACCCGAAACAAAGAAGCTCCCATCTCCCTTGTCCTATCCTCACATCATTCTCAATACAACTGGAACCTAGACTTTAGAAGACCTTTGAGAGAAAATGAAATTGAGGAAATATCTAGATTCCTTTACACTCTCAGAGAAGTGTACCTTTCCCCAAACACCCTTGACACTCGAGTTTGGACCCTACACCCAGTAGGTAAGTTCTCAACCAAGTCCTACTTCAGGGCTCTAATCAAGAAATATCAGTTAACTGGATTTTTCCCGTTTAAGACAGTTTGGTGCACTCACATTCCCTCCAGAGTTTGCTTTTTTGCGTGGGAAGCCAGTCTAAAGAAGATCAACACTTCGGATCTTCTCTAGAAAAATAACCAAGGAAGGTCCTATTTATCCCCTCATGTTTGTTGTTTGTGTTTAAAAGCTGGGGAAACGGCCAGTCACATGTTTGCGTGGGAAGCCATTCTGATCCACTGTGAGGAAACCAGAAAATTCTGGAATTTCTTTCTCAATTATTTCAATTTTAGTTGGACATTCCCCGAACCTGTGATAAACTATCTCAAACAATGGACGGCAAGAAAGTTAAGCAAAAGAGGAAGAAGGATTCTATGGATTTCCATAGCACATGCCATCTTATGGAGCATCTGGGAAGAAAGAAATAACCGAATCTTCAACAACAGAGAAAGAAACTTTGAGGAGATTTTGTCTATCATTTCTCATGGAATTTTTGTTTGGACCTCCAATTCAGAGCATTTTTAAAGGAGTACCATTTTCTGACCTCCAAAGAAATGCTGCAGAATTTCTGTTCTCCAAACACCAATCCTTAATCCTCCCTACCCCACATTCTCCTGTGGCAGAAGGGGAGATAACCTTGTACTTTGATGGAAGTGCGCTTGGAAACCCAAGTGCAGCAGGAATCAGTGGAATTTTTAGAAGAAGAGATGGCGCAGTTATTGGGGCTTTTAGTGGACCAATAGGGATATCCTCTTCAACAAAGGCTGAAATTATGGCAGCACTAACTGGAATCAGGATTGTGAGAGATCTGGGTTTTCAGAACATCACTATAAAAGGAGATTCAGAAAATACAATCAGGTGGCTAGCTGACTCTGGCAGTGGGTCATGGGCTCTAGCTCATTTTTTGACTGAAGCAAGGGACATCCTTCTCAACCTAAATGCACAGCTGGGTTGGATCCCTAGGGAGCTAAACACTGATGCGGATGGTTTAGTAAAAGCTGGTGCTCACAGGGATGTCTTGTTTAGTGATAGTTCTCTTCCTACTTAACTCTTGAGTTGTAATTTCTGTGTACATCTTCTTATGTACCCTCAATTTATTAATAAAGTTAACATCTTTTTTCAAAAAAAAAAAAAAAATTAGAACACCACAATAATAAGAGGGAAAGCAAAGGAGTGTTGCCTGTTTGGTAAGAAATATTGGAACTCTCATGCTTTAACAGAATTGGCCCCATGCAAAACTACAAAACAGCCTGTGACATATGACACATTTAGCCAACTCAAAAAGACTTGGGATGATGACTGGACAATGGGTAAGATCTGGTAGAACTTTTTAGCTGAGTTTTCTTCAAGAGGATACAAGAGGTAGTGCTAGGATCCGATATGCTAGTTACCATAAGCATTCATACAATTTTCACATCCCTAACCCACATGCATCATTTAACACAGTTTGATCGCTGTACTTATCCTTGGTTGGGTCACAACAAAAGATTTGTATTCAAAATCACCAATTAAGTCCACTTTTAAGTCTAGGATCAGCAAATATGCATGTAATCTGTACTCTGTAGGTCATCCTGCAAGAATTTATAAATAACTAACAGAAACAGAATGAAAGAACTTGATCCTACAGAGATAGGGGAAAACCTGACTAAAAATTTTCAAAATACTTGTTAAAGATAAGAAAGTTAAAATGAAGTACTATTGAAAGGATGCACCGAGTTACATACCACATCTACGGTTTTAAACTATGTATTAGAAGCTCAAAGTAAATAGAACAATAAAATCACACAACAATGAAAAATATTCACCCGATGTTGTTCATCCCCTCTTGTTCTGAGCTTTTGGTGGTCTTAGAACACTCCAGTCCAACTTTTCATGCTTCTGTTTCTTATAGGAGGCTTTACTGTTTCTTGGTGATGGACGTTGATCACCCAGGCTAATTATGTTTCTTTGTGATTCACCAGGATATTGTGATTCAGTCTTTATATATGGCTGTTTTCTTTTATGATCTCCATCACAATCACTGTCAGGTCTAGCTACATTTGAGGACTCTGTCATGGTTGCTGAAGACTCATTTTCTCTGTAGAAGTAGAAAAGAAAACCAAACATCAATGTATGCACCACTTACATGAAGCCATACTAGAAACGGCTTCAAAAGGTAAACCCTCTTTACACAGAAATACAATAACATGATACTCCATAATAATGAACTATTCACAGATGTTGAAATTTGAGGTTCCACCATCATGTAAAGCACTAGTGGTATTACAAGTTTACAACAGATGTTGAAACTTGAATCCAATGCTAAATCACCAACCTGGGATAAGCTCCTCCATTTTGATTGACAGAATTTGTGGCAAATGCTTTTGGTTGACAAAGACTTGCTGCCTCTTCATTCACTTTCTACCAAGTACCAAGAGAAGACAAGGCTTTGACATGAGGAAGCAATGTGGTGAACAGTCTTTGGAATTGTTTCAAGTTGATTAATCTTGATACTCACATCAATGGAAGGATTAAAACTTTGAAATGACATCCGCCCTTTCAGTGCCCCCGGATGGGGATCCCCTTCCATTATGACTATGCTGTAGATAAAGAAATAGCTAGACAAGTGAAACAAGACCCATGACCATATATATAATAAAATCGAAGTCACATTCAAGAGAAATACTAGCAAAATTTTCAAAGGATGCTGAACCCAAAGGCAACAAGCATAAGAATAGCATCTGCGGCTGGAGTGAATGACTGACTATAAAAAGTTCTTGAAGAAATTGTTATAAATTCAACCTACTCCCTGCATTCATCAAAGAATAAAGATGACTATGAGGCCCTGCTCTACTTTTTCTTTTCTCTTTAATTTCTCCTGTACCTCCAACAAGGGAGTCTCCAGTCTTGTCATCATTGTACATTAATCTACTCCAACCAAAAGCACCAAACACCCCCTAACAATCAGCAAAAGCCCAAACAGAGAACACTATCCCAACTCAACACCACCCAAAACTTTATTTGATTACCCAACATTGCCAGAGGTTCATATTTGACCCCCTTTACTTCCCTTACAAACTTTCTTAATTTTCTTCATCTTCTTGTTAGGTCCTCCAACCCCAAGCAAACATCTACTAACTATTTCATCTAGGAAGCTACATGTTGCACAACTATTCCCACTAACTATCAAGTTTGGATAAACCTCCCACAGTTTTGTAAGAGAATCTGTACTCATATCAGTGTCTTCATTTTATTTCTTTTACACTATATATGTTAAACATTGAAATATACTGATATCTTCCTTGGTTATAAAATGCCAGAATAACTTATGACAGAGAACAGTTAATAGATGAATGCCAATCGCTTGCTTGGTTATAAAAGATATCCTTAATTATTTTACTTATATTGAAAAAATGAAGAAGAGCAAACTGAAGTCTCGTCTGTTCTTTTTTTTTTTTTTTTACGCTGTCGGTTCAGGTTATATGGTTTCAGAAAATGGCTTACTCTGAAATCAGAGCATAATTCGATTTCAACAAACAAAGATTATGAATTTATATATCCTAAAACATATAAGAGTCTCAAATGGACCCAATGGTGAAGAATACAGCTAAAATTTTTATTATTAAATATGCTACATTCCATCTCGAACATTATAAAGATAATTAAACAGTAATTCGACTAAGAAATATCTTCATAAACCAATTTCTTTTTATTCATTTATTTATTTATTATTTGGGGGGGAGGGGAGGGGGGATAACCGCATAACTCGGACAAATTCTTCTAAGAAACTGAAGACAAAATACCATTTTCTATTCTGAAAACCAGGCGAAACAAAGTCACTATTGGGTTGGAGCTCTTCTTCTTTCTTAGATTTCTCCTCTTTTTGAGCTGCCCTTTGCATGAACTGAAATAATAAAGAATATACCAATTGAATTTCAAGGAAATACCAACCCAAATCTCCACCAGGAACTTGCAAAGAAAGAAATCAGTCTACAATTAATTTTTTCCCTCTGTCTTACCTTCAAGTTCTTCAACGTGCTGGAAAGCTCACGCTTGACCATTCTGACCTCGAGTAGCTTGGGGAAAGTAGTCGAACTCGAACACTAAGCACCAAGACCTCCTCCCGCTCTCTCTCTCTCTCTCTCCCTCTCTTTCTCAAAGAGAAGGGCTCTTTTCTAAGATCTATCGACTATCGTCTTTCATTAGGGCTCCCACACGGATCGGATCGAATCGGATCTGATTCCGTGATTCGTTTAAGCTGTGTTTGGCTTGAAGGAAAAAGAAGGGAAAGAAAAAGAAAGGCAATGGAAATTCCTTTATTATATTGATATTTAATATTTTATTAATCTATCAAAACAAGTTAATTACAAAACAAAATTATAATAATGCTTTCATTGAGATTAGAAGTCAAGACATCTCGCTTGTTAAACGGATACTTTAACCAACTGAACTATGAAAAAAGCTATTTATTTATAAAAACCTTTATAATATCTTCCTTTAATAAAGGAGGCCTAGGTCACAATGTTAGACAACCGTACAAGCTTTATTTTAAGGATCATGGGGCATAAGGCCCAGAACCGCTCTTTAGCCATAGAACCTATTATCTGTCCAATATTATGAAAATGAAAAGTAAAAAATTTATAATTCAATGGGACCTGTTAAAAAATTAAAAAAACAAAACACGCTAATGTTTTCATAGAAGCTTTGTGTTTTTCTGGTTAATATGTGTATGCATCATGGTGCAATGTTTTAAAAAATCATCAAGAATAGGAACCGTTTTAGTCATTGGTTTTGGGGTTGATGGTTCAATCATCCCATTTGGATAGATGGCCTATTCTAACAAAAAATTAAAAAAAAAAGTTAAAATAAAAAATGGCCAAAACCGTTAAACAGATCTACGGTTCAATCACCTGAATCAAGAGCCCAGATTTCTTATTCACTTTTCTTACCCATTCTCTATCCGCTGTGATTGCAGCCATACATCTCTCAATTCATAATAGAGATATGTGGTTCCAATACACGGCAGGTAGAGAGTGAGCAGGAAATCCCGAGTGCTAAATCAACAGATCATTGACCAATTTAATGGTTTTTGTCAAAAATAAGGTTTGGGGTAAAACAGAACCGATTGCATGGACGGTTCTTGGGACTGAACAATCCGACCATCCAGGTCAATGGTGGTTCAAAAACCATGTCATAATAGTAAACTCGCAATGAGATCTCCCACCCAAAAAAGAAAACATAAATTAAGTGCCCAAACTGTAGTTACTGGTTCTCCGTCCCAGAAGCACAGAAACTGACGTCATAATTGTAATGAGGTCCCTAAACTTACAGTTACTGGTTCTCCAATCACCGTGCTCAATCCCACTGTATTGTCTGAAATCTTTCTGAACTTTCTGAACCTAAGTGCGACTGATAAAAGCCCATTTCGATCCAAATAATAATGAATCAAATTTGGATCCATTTGCAACCTACAATGGTATTGGGAATTGGAATTAACTAAAATCAGATAGAACATTGATCTGCCTCGTATGGAAAATTAAAAGGCCTAGAAGTTTGGGACCCTAATTGTCAATAATAAGGAATTAAATATTAAAAATATTAATTAGGAGAGTTTGATATAAGGTACTTTCTTTTAACAATAAGATCCCTAAAATCTGGTTCACGGCGTTCTTTGATATAAGGTGCTTTCTTTTATCTCGATGAGATTGTGATTAATATCATAATACCTACAATAAATATTTGAACATCTGGTATACGTATACGGTATATCCAACCCTCCTCCTTTTAAGAGCCTACTGTTTCTTGTTTTTTATTTTGGTTAAGAAATCAGCTATTACCTATTAAACCTGTTTACGGGCTAAGCTTCAGGTCAAACTCAGCCCATGAATAATTCTAATTGGTATTCGTATTGAACTTAAGTTTGGAAAGAATACAATTACAAACAAAAATAATACAAAACATAAGATTATGCTCTCTGTACATTTGTATTTGCATTTTGTACTCCTTCCAAATTGAGCTTAATTAATTTTCTCAAAAATAACATTGGCATGCCCCATGAATTGGGTAATAACCCCCAATAGGCCAATACACTCATTATTATAAATAGTGGGTCGGGACAGTAGAGAAACCCTGCCCTAGTAAGCAAAATTTCCTACAAAGGGATTGCATAAGCCAGAAAAGATCTTAGGGTAAATTACAAAGACCCCCCTGTTACTATGGGGTCTGTACCATAACCGTGAGACAAACATACTTTTCCCTTAGTTTAAAGACTGTTATAATATTTTTTTAATCTTTATATTACCCTTATAATAACTATTCCGATTAAGGGAGAAAAATACTGTTGATCTTCTCCGACCTCACGATCCTCGTTCCCTGTTTCTTCCTCCAATTTTTTCTTCAATTCATGCACTCCAATCCCCTTGAAAATGAACGAAGAACCTTCAATGACGTAGTCAATATTTCCATTAAACGTAAATTGTCAAGCCAAACCAAGAGAAAATCGAGATGGGTTTCTCTTAGTAATCATCACCTAATAAGAGAAGAGATTTAGATACATTATTTTCTAAGAGACATCTGGTTTTAAGTTCTTGAGATTAAAAAGGAACAAAAGTTAAACAGAGATTTAGATACATTCTTTTTGAGCAAAATTAATACTAACTTTCAAATCTAATTACTCACCAGCGTTTTGTTCTGATTTCTGAAGCAAGGAGTTCTTGCAGTGAGTAATGGCTCCTTGAATCACACTTTGCAATTCCTCCAGTGACGATGAATCTACATACTGCATGCTTCCAACGATGTTACCACCAAAAACACCGCTTTGACAAAGCACACCGGAATGACTGGGCGACAACCACGTCGAAGATGGGCAACTAGAAACACATTTTTTCCTTCGTGGGTATTAGAATACACTGTTGTTCTCTTTCCTCGCACTTGAAGCAGAGATATCTCTATTTTTCCGAGACTTCTCTGTCCTCATCGCCAATGAAGCCACTGTTACCATCGTCGCCGTCTTCTGTTGTTGCTGCTTCAGTGATAACTTCTAGTATAAAGGTTTCACCATTTTCAAATACTTCCTGTTGGAAAATGGGGTCACTATAACTTTGGAGGAGAAGCTCTAAGGCTTGTCTGAAGACACTGTCTTTAGAACGTTATTTGCCCCCACTCATTTTCACCGAATTTGTTGTTGGGTTACAGGCAAATCCGTTCTCATGATACAATAGAGCCTTGGGCAAGAATCTGCAACCAGCAAAGTTGAAGAATCTCCGAAGAAACCTTCTGTAAGACTGTAGCAGACCGGACTGAGAGAAAGTGGATTTCGAAATTGTGTGTTTTGGGAGTCTGATTCATGCTCCTTAAATAGTTTATGAAGAGGTATGAAGAAAATGTAAGTGCTGGTTTAGAGAAGGCACCTTGAAATTGTGACTGTTTAAAAAGTAGTTAACAGTTAATGACTGTTAAAACAGTCAGCGTCGCACCAAAACCAAAGTTGCCCTTCGCGAGCCACGCGGGTGCGAGCAAAGTGCGCCTCATTGCGCCACACACGTGCGCGCGCGTGCATTGCACGGTATCAAACCCCCATACTCTCCTCCACTATTTCTAAGGAGTGCAAATCAGCTCCTATTAAAATACTGAAAACAAAGCTTATAATTTTCCAATGTGGGACAAGTTCAAAACTGGGCTTTGTAAGAAAAAAGCTAATTTTTCAATCAAGTGTGCAGGTGCAATTTCTCATGTAATTGATCAATCAAACCCATTGGATTCAATCTCTTATGAGATTAAAATCCAGCACTTCCTTATCACGTCCTTGGCCGACGCACTCATCCGCTTCACAAAAGGAGGACCCGATACATTCTCTTGATCTCTATGCTTGTTGTTGTCTTTGCGAACACAGAAGAGAACCTCGCTAGAGAGAAGTACTTGGATTTCTTGATCTATGATCTCTTATGGTGATAATTGTGGTTGAGACGCTTAAACTCGTCTTCCTCGGCCGTCGAGCTCGGCCGTGATGAGTCACACTAGATGAACAAGATGAGATCACCGGAAAAAAGAGGAGCTGGAGTCATTGGAACTGCCAATCGAGTCTCGAGAAGCAGTGGTAGTGGAGTCGGAGCAAGACGAAGAGCTGGACGAGGCTAACAGGAGAGTTCGAACCATGGAGAGGCGGGGGGAGAGATGGAGAGGGAGAAGATGGCCCTTGTAGAAGAGCTCGTCAGCTGGATAGAGATTGGAGGAGGCCATTCAAGGGGATAGAGAGATGGTGAACTCGAAGTCCGACGAAGAGGTACTTCTCGTGGTGGCTCCGGAGACAGACAACCTTTGGCTTTGTAGATAATTTTCATTACTCCACTCCGATACCAACAGAAAAACGAAATTATTAGAATAGAGTGTGGGCGAGATGCCAGATATGATGACGATGAATAAAAGAGAGAGAGAGAACATAAAAGAAATTCAAACTTTTCAAGTTCTATTCTGGTCTCTTCTGTTTCTGAATCAAACTAATCATTTTAAGATTGCAACCAAATGGGATTAAAGAAAGAGCAGAGATACACTCCTCAAAATATAATAGAGAGAAATGATCAGAATAAAAAATAACAATATATATAAAATCTGTATCTAGGCTTTGCCGCCTGAATCGAATCAATCAGTGAATAGGTTAAATAGGTTTCAAGAGAAAAGGGCAAAAAAATAAAATAGAAAAAAAATAGTGGGGTATTTTAATAATTTAACATATTCCATCATCTCACTCAACGGTCAAGGGGGGTCTTTGTCTCACGGTCATAGTACAAGGGGATATTTGTTGCAAAACAAAGTACGAGGGGGCCTTTGTCATAGACCCCATAGTATAGGGGGTCTTTGTAATTTACCCAAGATCTTATGCAAAGCTTTTTTCTTTTCTTTTTTTTGAACTACAATAGAAAATTTTCCTACTTTTTTCTAAAATTAATCCACATTCTTCCTACACACAACATGCAATGAGGGGTCTATTGGTTGAGTTTTCCGGGTAGTCCTTTTGAGACATGTTTTAAAAAAAGACGTAGAACCGGAACCATTCTGGCCATCGGTTTCCGGGTTGACGGTCCGATTGTCCAATCTAAGTAGACGGCCTGTTCTAACAAAATAATTTAAAAAATCATTAAGATGTAAAAACGACCAAAAACCGTTAAACGGGTCAATAGGTCAGCGGTTCAACCGTTTGGGTCAACGAATCATTGATCGATTCAGTAGTTTTTTACCAGAGACCGATTGCCTAGACGACTATCAGGTCGAATGGTCTGACCGTCCAAATCAACGACAATTAGAAAACCATGCTTTTGAGCATGGTAATGGCATTTTCATGGGAAAGCGAAGGAGAACCCTCGTTGCAGAACTATATTTTAATGTTAACTAGCGGGGACCCGTGCAATGCACAGGATTTATTAAGAGAAAGCTAAATAATAGAAATGGTCATTAAGTAAAATATCCCTTATAGTTTCATGGATTTACTAAAATCTATCATAGAGTTAGCATTTTACTAAAACACCACTTATAATTTGCAATGGATTTAATCAATCTTCTATTAGATGACTGTGGAAAATGACAGTTTTGATCCTAATGTTCATTTAAATAAATTTAATCAAAAGAAAACAAAAATAAAAATACCATTTTTGCCCTTAATAAGATTCGAACAACTATTCTATTGGTTATATTTGGTCAATTTTGTTTTCTGTACAAAAAATATTAAGGGTATTTTTTGAATAAAAAATCATGAGCCTAATGACAAAACAAACACTCCTTAATGAAAGGTTCATTAAGTAAATAAATTGTAAAATATATGGGATGTTTTAGTAAAATGAAAATTATAAGGTAGGTTTAAATAAATATGTGAAACTATAAGTTGTGTTCTAGTAAATGACCCTAATAGAAACACATAAGAGTATACAATTGTTTTATATTTTTAACTTTTTAAATAATCAATAATTATTCATATTTTATATACTACTTTTAATAAATTTTTTATAATACAAAAATAACAATAATTTATTTCAGTTAGGCTTATTAATCAAACTAATGAAATTGACCAACCCGATCAACTCGACCCGAGTTGGTCAGTTTTCTAGTATTTTAGGTTGGCTTTGATTCAAAAATTTCTCAAACGATTTATAAACTGACCAAAATCAAACGATTTAACCATGAATATATATTAAAATTTTATATTTTTAATATAATTCTTAATATAAAAAAGTGAGAAATTTCTCATATTTCTTAATTTAAAATATTTTATATCATAAATCTAATTTTAAATTTATTTTTTATAATTATACTATACTTTTTAAAATTAAATGTTTTATAATTGTTGGGTGTGGTTACAACTTCCAAATGAAGAAGTGTATGCGTAATTAGCAATGGGCCGTTCAATTCAATGTGCGGGATGGAGACTGCCGCGTCATGTGGACCTCCATTACAAGTCATCCTTACCTTGGAATAATTGAGAAATGAACAGTGTAATGTTTTAAGCGTGAATGAAGTGAGAATGTGGGATGCCAGTCCCACACTACAGCCTGGCTCAGCCATCGGAACCTAATCGTCCATACCATATGACATGCGAGAGGGAGCTCTAATTATTGATACATGAACAGGGCTTACTTCCATCTTTACCTGAAAAAGATGGACTGATACTTCATGTCTTGCGATGATGAAGATATCATCATTTAATCTTCCGATGATGATAGGGGGGCTGATTTGGTATCCTATTTTGCCATCACTTTCTCTTTGCCTAATAAATTAGCAATTTACTACTAAGCACTACGCTCTTGTTATCTTGTGGCTCTCGTCTCATCTGGGTTTATTCAGAAAAGCCTCATCCTTTTTGCCATATCTGAACCGTATTTGATAACGACCAGAGAGCAAAGCAAAGCTGTTAAGCCGACTAAGGCAGGCAAAACCCACGTGAAATGAGGTGGTCAGTAGTTGGTGGTGACTGGTGAGTAACAATTTAACATTATTATGTGTAATGTACCACCAAAATGAAAATTATGAAAATGAGGGCATGATGAACACAAAACAGGCAATTTTTTTGGGGGTTAATTTTTTATTTATATTTATTGAATGATGATGATATTACAACATGTAGATTGTAGATATATAGCATCGCATCGCCGGACACATTTTTTCTTTCTACACCTAAGCTGTCACAGATGTCTCTATTGCAACCTTGCCGGAATATCTGACCTTCTCTGACTTTTCCTCGGCTTCCCAGAGCTCCGGCAATGCTTCCCTGATGTTGTGAATGCTTTCCAATGCAAAATCAGAACCCTTGGTTCTGTAAGAAGTGCCCACCTGCATCATACACATATTAAAAATCAGCTTGGTCAGAAACAGAATGGCCCCTTTATAGCCCACCAAGGCATCGAAGACATTCCACAGAATTTCCAGCGACTCACCAGCACAGTATGAAGACCCACACGTTTTCCTGACTGTATGTTTCGAACACTATCGTCAAAGAACATCTGAAAGATGAAATTACTCCAATTAGTATATGCATATTTTGTTTAAACTATAATCATTCTCACATTCTTTTAATGGACAAGAAAGAATGTGAGCAATGTCTAGTTATTTACAGTTTTACAGTCAGCACAATACTTTGGTGAAACAACTCATGATGTGGACCTTACTTTTTCCTTCATGTTTTACATAACAGGAAACTTGCTCCCCCCAAAACCCCAACCCAATGCAGTAACTCACAAATAATTCATTGCCTTACCGTTCTCTGGGGATTGATGTTTCCTATCTTGAGTGCTCTTTCAATGGCAATTTCAGATGGTTTGCAGACAACTGGTGTATTTGGCAATTCCAATCCAGCACTAGGCTGAGAAAAGTGCCCAATAATGTCGAAGTATTGATCAGAGCCTGTGGTAGTTGGTTTTGAACCGCCAAACCCAGAATCATCCTCATCATCAGAGACAGCATTCTTGTGTGTAGGATTCAGGGTCTCAAAGCATATAATCCCTTCAAAACAGTCCTCCAACCCGAGTCTGCTAAGAACTTTGGCAGCATGGATCTTATCTGCGTTTGTGAATATCTATTTTACAGAGACAGTAGATATCCATTAGGAGGAAGTTTTGCAGCTAAGAAGTATACAAGACTAGACTATAATTCAGTGATGAAGATCTTACAACTTTACGAATAGGCAAGCTTAGTAAGAGACTCCTTAGAACAGGATCGGGTTTTAGTTTCTCATAAGGTAATCTTCCGTGAACAAAACTATAAAACAGAAAAGAGCAAGGTTACATTCCTTTTCAAAATAATACATACAACAACAAAAGAAAAACAGGGCAAGCCAAGGAAAAACGGGGGAAAATTCTTTGTTTTTCGAAAAAGACAAGGTAAAATAGGGGAAATCCTTTGTCTTTGAAAAAGACAAGGTAAAATAGGGGAAAATCGGCACCTGTGATAATCATCGTAATCAAAATCATAGCCAATGGCCTGCAAGAAAGACAAAACATAGAACCCATTAAATGGAGATACTTTATTAGCACATTATTGTTTGATCACAAAATGGAAATTAAATTGGGAGGAGGAAAATCAAAGACATACCCTGAGACCAGCCATTGTCGTGCCATAATTTTTGTATAGTAGATTACACATATCAGAAGCTTTGCTCTCCTCTATGCCAAGCTTTTGAACCATATAATCTGGAAATGCACCCAGGAAAATTTATAAACAGCGACAATTTAGTGAAATGTAATAAGCTCAGAACTCAGCATCATGTATGCATACCTTGGATGTTGTTGCGGCATTCTATCGCTAAACCAGAGCTCAAGGGATAAAGAGTATCATCTAGGTCTGAAAAGTAAGAAAACCACCATGAATTAATCCTTGCAGGCCATCCACTTCGTCAACCAAAATTCAGAAATGATAAAATGACTTACCAAAGAGAAGACAATCATATTTGGGTCTCTGAGCTTGTCGGTATGGGTCCTCAAATTCCATCTTGAATTAAGAAGCTTCAGGAAAGAACAAACAGAGGTTAGCACCTGCTAGATGGATATGAATCCATGAATATTATTAAGATTAGATTAATCGCAGAATTTTTTTTCCACGGAATATTTGTAAAATGATCAAGTCCAACTGTAACATAGAAGCACCAAGACAGCTACACAGAAATATAGAACTAGACTAGTACATCGATGATTGACACCGAGTTCGATAATAGTGAATAAATCAATGAATGCATCGAAGCTGGGAAATACGATATTCAAACAAAAGTAGGGGCTTTTCATATAAAGGTCATACGCTTTATGACAGAATAGTAAAACTTGAAAAAAAAAAAAGAACAGAACAGAAAATTCAAACACCACTCATAGACCACTTTCCACAAACTTTTGGCATATAAAATAGTTCAATAATAAGATTTGAGAGGGAGAAAGAAGAAAAGTCGAAGAGGGTCATTTGTAAACATGGGACCGGAGACATCAGATGAGCATGTTGAGTCATCACTCAAACCTTAGGTGGCTGAGTCTTGAGGGCAGGACCATATTTCAAGCTCAAAAGCTGGTGGTCGAAGGTGAAGGAGTGGTGGGCCTGAAGCCTGAACTCTGAAGGATCCAGTGGAGGCCCCTTCCTCACCACATTGGTCTCCATCTCTTGGTCTATTCACAAGCGAAATCACAACAGGTCCCCAAGATCGAAACTCAAATGAGAGAAAAAATGAATAAAACAAAATATCAACTTTGCAAGCCTCAGTCGGTACCAACCAAAGTCCCTGAAAAAATAAAAGCAAAGGAAACAAAAGAGATGACTTTTATTCATGGTCCGAGTGCGAAAACCTAAAAAAACGACAACTTAAAATTATGCTCCCCAAGGAATTAATAGAGGAATTATTAACAAAGGCAACATGGTGTTGTTTCTACCATCAATTCCAAAACTAATTCCGCAAGTCTAAATTTGAACCCAAACTTGAAACTTTTGATAAAAATTTACGAGCTTTGGGCAACAAAATTCAAAAGCAGAAGAAGCATCACCGCGGGAGCATAATTTTTTCAAGCCCCAGGCAAAGACAAAAAGAAAAAAAAAAAAAAAGAACTCTTCTTAGTGTAAAATTATTAGAATCTGGAAGCTCCAAAGGATACTCGAAGAACAATGCCAGAACAGCCAATCTTGTTTTTACTTGAAAATGAGAGCCATACCAGTTTGAAATGAGCAGAAGCGGAGAGAAAACAAGAAGGAAACAATAGAAAGGTGGGGAAAACGAAAAACGTAGAAGGACAGGAGTTGAAGCAACACTAAAGATGAAGGAAGCGCAGCGCAGGAAGAGAAAGAGGGGGAGGAGATGAGGGTAGGAAGGGGGTTTAAATAGGCAAACCGTTCGTTGTTTATTGGCTTTCGTACACAAAATTAAAACGCCTAATTAACAAACTAGTTTTTACTTAAAATAATCTAAAAAAAATCCAATAAAAGGATGGAATTGGAAACGGAAAGGAAACGGAGGAAGGGAAGGGAAGGGAAGGGGGGAGGATGGACGGACGGTCCACTTTTTCGCTGTCTTGCGATACAAACATTTCGTTGGAACGCTTCACAGCTGTCAGATTTGAATTCGTAGTTGCTTCTCCACCTTCTCTCACAACCAAAACCCCAACTTCACGGCTCTGACCATCGGCTAATTGTCCATATTATTGGACAGAAATTACGGAAATTGCCACTTCTAGATTGGGCAGAGACGTCTTCCCCGGTTCCGCCGTCAAAGGTAGACAGACCCTTAGAGGAGGAGCGCCCAGATCTTTTCTTGGCGCATTCGTGGGGCTCCAGTCTTCGAACTCTTGGGGGTTTCTGTCTTTCTGCCTACAGAAGCCCATCATCACGATTTACGACTTTATATCTTTCCAAATGACCTTAATGCCCTCCCTTGGTTATCTAAAACACGGAAAAAATATATATAGATATGGGTGCCTACCTTCGGACACTGTGCTGTGCTGTCCACACTAACGTGTCTAGCAGAGAGAGTCTGTGCCGAGATTGTGGACAGCCCGAGTTTTTTCGCCCTTTTCACTGATTTTCCTTAATTTTTTTTTCCAATAAAAAGTAATTTGTTATTTGGTAGATTTGTCTCCTCTTCTTCTTGCACAGCAGTCAGCAGGGTTTGCTTTGTTCATGAGCCCATGAATACCTATAAATTTAGAAAATAAATTTAATTTTTGCAATTTTAGGTGAAATGCTAGGCCTCGAATTCAAAACAAATCACAAGGGTCAGAATCAAAATACTTCAGAATTAAAATAGAAATGAACTATTCCCCTCACCTGTTTGGTTCAAGTTAAAATTATAATYAGAGTTAGAATTAAATGAAATGGATTCTCATTCCAAAGAGAGGGAAAGGGAATGACTATTCTTTTAAATGAAGAAATGTCATTCCACTAAAATTGAAATTAGATTCCGATTCTATCCAATCAAATAATTAGAATCAAAATTCTGATTTCAAACCCTTATTCTCACGAATCAAACAAGCCCTTAATCTAAGTTAAGTTTTGGGGGTTACATTAATCCCAAAGCCATAGTTTACAATTTCAGTCTCATCCTAACCTGCAGAAATTAAATAAACAAGTGTATTGAATTGTCTCGACCCCTTGATGTTCCAACCTATAGCAGCTAGTCTTCTTCCAGTATCTTAATTAAATAAACCATTCTTGAATGTCAAGATCAGATTAGACACCCAAAGTTCATTCTACATTCTTTTATCCTTCCAGGCCGATCCATTAATCAGAATAGACAAAGACAACCTCATTATACTGTTTTTTAAACATACATTATCAAATATTTAAAATAACTCGAGAACTCTTAAAAACCTATTATTTTATTATACTAGTGGGGACCCGAGCGATGTACGGAAAAATTTGAAAGATTGAATAATTTTAATTACTATTAATTAATTGATAAATTAATAATAAAAATTTGTTAATTAATTAAAAGTATTCAAAGTTATTGTTAATATTTATATTTTTTATTTAATGTTGATTTATAGAAAATAATTATTAATTTAATTTGAATAAATATTTTTTAATAAATTTAATTTTATTAATCGTTTGTAGTATTTTTAATAATTGTTATTATTTTCATTATTTTTAAATGAAATTTTGGTTGACTTTAAATAAATAAAAATAACTACAAAAGTTAACATTTTTATTAATTTTACTAATAATTAACAATTATATAGGAACGGAAACAAGGCGAGTTTGGGGCGGGGCACCCCATCCCTGTTCTTGCCCCGTAGTCAAGACACTCTACCCCATCACCGCCCCTTACTCAGTATCAGGTGGGTTAAAGGCAAGGCACCCATTCCCTATCAGGGACAAGAAATCCTTGAACTACCCCACCTCGTCCTCAATGTCGGGCAAATTCAAGGCAAGGCACCGACTCCTCGCTAGGGATGGAGAATCCTTGAATTTCCCCACCTTGTCTTCAATGTCAGGTGAATTCGGGGCAAGGCACCCACTTTTCATCAAGGATGGGGAATCCTATAATTTTCCCCTCCCCATTCCCAGTGTCAGGCAGGTTCAAGGCAAAGCACCCACTCCCCATTAGAGACGAAGAATCGTTGAATTTACCTGCCTTGTCCTCAATGTCAAGCAGAGTTTAGGGCAAGACACCCACTCCTCATCAACAATGGGAAATCCTAGAATTTCTCCTACCCCATCCCTAGTGTTGGGTAGGGTCAAGGCAAGTCATTCACTCATCGTCAACCACATGGTAAATTTCTAAAAGTACACAAATTGTCTTTAATGTTCAAAAATGTAATTATATGAAAATTTCGGAAAATTTATTATATTTGTGTAATTTTGAAAATTTATTCAAATTTATGTTTAAATTGTTATTAAATAATTTATTTTATTTTTAAATGGTTTACTTAAAAAATTACACTAATTTATCTTATCTTTTCTAATATAAACTAATCAATAATTTCTGATTTCCAGTATTATACTAATTTATCTTAATAATTTGTGTAATTATTGGTTCAAATTACAAATTTCCCTTTCCGTACTCATTTATCTTTAAGAATTTTCAATAATTTACAATAAAAATTACATGATTTTTCAATAGTTCTCCAAAATCTATCAAATGTAATAAATTTTCCTAAAATTTCCAAAATATTCCAATAATTATTTAATAAATTTTAAATAAACTTTCAAAAATTTAATCTTTTAATTTCCAAAATGTTATTTTATGAAAACGTAGTTTTATGAAATTTTTGAAAAATTTATTACATCTGTGTAATTATGGAGATTTATTAAAAAATATTTTAAATTGTTATTAAATATTTATTTTTATTAGGTAGTTTACTAACAAAATCACACTAATTTATATTTTATTTTCCAATATAAATTAATTAATAATTTCATTTTCCAACATCATAATATTTTATCCCCCATATACATTTGGTTATGAACTACAATAATAGCAATAACTAAATTTTTATACTTTTTGGTAATTGTTAAATATAATTCTCAATTTTATAGAAATTAGCAATTTCTACAAAATGTTGTAATTAAAATGAATATAACAGTATTTACCCAAAATACTTTAAAAAGTCATGATGAGTTAATTAATAACAATATTTATTAATTTTTTGGTAATTTACTAATTGTGTATTAACTTTTGGTAATAACACTATTTAATACTCATTGAATATGAGTTTTAAATATTAATCATATTTAACTATCTTTTAAATAATATGAATATTTTAAATGAGAGAGAGTGGATATAGATTGAGGGGATAGAGTTTAGGAATTGATTGGGAAGTGGGGTAACATGATACATTCCTAATGGCTTAGAGGAGATACTTTAGGAGAGAAATTTTAGGAATATTTTTAGGCCCCGTTTGGTTTGCAGGATTAGGGGTCTAGAATTGAAATCAGAATGGGCCCATTCCGATTCTTACTGTTTGGTTGGGCAGAATCAGAATCCCATTCCCATTCTTGCTAGAATGACATTCCTTCATCTGAGGGAATGGCCATTCCCTACCCCTCCTTTGGGAATGAAATCCCATTCCTATTGATTTTAATTCCCATTTCCATTCCAGTCTGAACCAAACAAACTATGGGAATGGACCATTCCGATTCCAATTCTGGAGGATTTCGATTCCGATTATGACTACGAACCAAACGGACCCTTAGGTAGTTGGGTTGGGAATGGTGATGTGGCTTAATGGGAGTGGTGTGAAGGGAAGATGAGAGATAGCCAAGGAGAATGCAAAGTGGGGGTAATGGAGAAGGAGAGGCATGTTGACGTGGACGTCTTGCTTTATATATATAGATAGACTAGTGTGGCCCGTGTGATGCACAGGACAGAGCACTCCTCCATGTCCCCCGCCCCCATAGTCAAGACACCCTACCCCATCCCTACCAGGTCCCTAGTGGTGGGGTGGGTTCAAGGCGAGGCACCCATTCCTTATCGGGGATGGGGAGCCCCCAAATTTTCCCCACCCGAGGCCACCACCTAAAAATAATCTAATTTGTGGATATTTTACAATTAGGATTATGGGAATTTGGAAATATTTTAGGATTTGGATTATAACAATTTAGGGGTATTTTATAAATAGAATTGTGGGATCCTAGGATTATAAGAATATGAGGAAAACTTAGAGATATTTTAAAAATCAATATTAATTCTACTCATATTTTATTAATTTACCATTGGGTTTGGAGAATTATATGCAAACCCCGTCTCTGATTTGGAGCAAAAATATTTTCCCCRTCCCTTCCCTATCCTAGATTTGGACCAAAAATATTTTCCCGGTCCCTTCTCTGTCCCTAATTTGGAGGTGAATGAATTATGTTGCAGGCCTAAACTTGCCAGTTGGCACCATTTGATTGACCCACGTTTCCATCCTACCAATGGTCGGCGTATTATGTAACCTCTAAGAGTTCATGATTTACCACTTATTCTATCATATCACTAAGTATGTATTTGGTTTTGTTTACGTTTTTCATTCAACTTTGTTTGCTTGTAAAACCAATAAATGTAATAATTACATCTGTTTATGACTAGGCACCACATTACACGGTTCCAAACACCCTCCAAGCTGTGTTTTAGTCCTCTCTCTCTTTTGCTTTTGAAGGATCACTTTATTGCCCCCTCCTCCATGTAAGATAAGATAAAGCTTCTTTTTAAGAACAAGTATTGGTTGTATAA